CTTAATTCGCGATAAACGAATCCGGGATACGCCGGAAATTACGTGCGAACCATTCTGTGGACAGTGCACGTATACCACATATGTGCGCGCGGCATTTTCCATAGCATTATATATGGTCACATAGCGCCGATGTGCTTACGACATCACCACATATGACTACATAGCGGTGACAACATAAATTTTTGACATTTCACACATCCACACGCCAACGCCACCTGTGTTTCCCACCACAAAACAAAATTACGCATCGGTCCGTCTTGCATCCTGATTCGAGATCTATGGTTTTGACTGCTTTGTTTTCCACCGCAAAATAAAATTACGAATCGAGCCGTCCTGCATTTTGGTGAGAGTTCTATGGTCTTGACTGTTAACGTACATGCTACCAGAAAAAAACCAGAGCACCATTAGTTCAAACTTATGTTGTTGTCGGAGGATACATAACCAACGCTTTTTTGTTACCGAGACAAAATCTGGACCACAAGTTCTCAACATATTTGTTGGTGTTGTGGATGACCAGGTGCCGCAAACATGTTCAAAACCGTTGTTAATCATGTTAAGAATCGTTGTTAAACGCTTCAACATAAGTTGAAATCGTAGACTTATCAGTCGACATAGTTCGACTTAGTAAGTCGAACTACGTCGACTTAGTAACTCGAACGGTCGACTTAGCTAACTCGACTTAGGTCGACTTAGTAAGTCGAGTTAGGTCGACTTAGCTAAGTCGACTTATAACTTGATTATAACTCAATTACTAAGTCGAAGAGTTCAGGGCTAATTGAGTTAAATATAAGTCACCTAACTTGGTCATAACCCGACTTATAATTCAACCTCCTAAGTCTGCTGACTTTTACTAACTCAACGAGCTCTAATAAGGTATTAGAGGTTGACTTATAACTCAGACGCTGTCAGTCACTATTAAACGCGCCAATTTATAACTCAGTTATAACTTAGTTATAACTTAGTTATAACTTAGTTATAACTTAATAACTAACAGGCGTCCTCAACTTATATCGAAGATATAACCCGCCGTTCATCTCAGTAGTGGTCAGCGCCTACCTCCCCAGGGCGCTCAGGATCATCTCAGTACTCTCTTGTTGTAGGGTGCGTGAGATGTCCCGCCAGATCCGGCTCAAGAGCTCGGACCGGTCGGCATCCTCAAGAGAGGCGCCGTAGCTCCGAACGCACCTTACTGCCTCGTCGGACGGCCGCCCCCCGGTCTCGAAGACCATCGGGACGAGGTCTAGGCCCTCCCGGGGGGGGTACCGGCCCCGTTTGTCGTCGACCATCTGGGCTGCTGCGAGTCCGTCTCGTTCGGCTCGGGCGCGCTTGCGTGGGGCGTAGGTGGAGTGTACGCAGGTCACCGCCCAGTCGACAAAGATGGGTCGACCGGTGCTGGGGTCGTGTGTCCGGATGTCCAACTTTGTTTCCTGAAGGACCCCGGTGTGGGGATGGCGGCGATCCCACGCTGGCACGTGTTGTTCCGTCGGAGCAGCATGACCCGGGATTTCCTTATGCATGGATGCATGTCGGTCCCGGAGGCGGTCGTGCCGGGCGGTGCGGGATTGGCCCACCTCGCATGACTTGGCATGAAACCCGCGTGGTTCGATGGGGCTCTCCGCACAGCGTGCCGTCTTGTCGTCGGTGTTGGCAGCGCGAACCAGCGGGGCAGACTGGTGCTCGCAGCCGGCACATGAGGTTCACCTCGAAGTGGTCGTCTGGCTGCAGAGGGTCTCCTGGTTGTCGAGGTTGGCGAAACGCCCCTGCGCCTACGCCACCGCACTCCCGGAGTGCCAGCCGGTCGTTTTCAGGGAGCTCCCGCAGCAATCGTTCTCGTTTTTTCCCGCAGGCTGCCTTGCTCCACACGCCCTGGAGCTTAGCGTGGGGTTCCTGAAGACTGCGGGCCCAGTCGATGGGCTGTCTGGCTGTCGCTCCCGAGGCTTGTAGCGCTTGCTCGGCTTGGGCGAGCACTTGGAGGGTCCGCGGGCACCGCGTCCGGAACCCCTCCAGCGTGCTCACGTCCAGGCACTTCGCCACGTCGTGGAGGCAGAGCGCCCAGCTCGCGGCGTAGGCTGCCGATGCGGTCTGGGCAGCGGAGGGAATGGCGCACCCTCCGTCTGCGAGGCGCATGGTGGCCTGCAGCCTCTGAAGCTCGTCCAAGTGGCTCCCGCGCAGGAGGTGTTCTGGGGCCGAAGACACCACCGCGTCGAGCTGCTCCACCCAGTTGCTCTGCAGATTGGCTCGCAGGTGGTGGTAGGCCTCGGCGGAGAGCCCAGCCTCTCGGAGGTCTCGGAGTCTCTGGGTGAAGGCCTGCGCCCGTTGCACTGCCGCCGCGCCGTCTTCCCCTGCGTGAACTAGAACCCGGTTCTCTTGTTGGTCGAGCCAAGGCGCCGTGTTTCCCAAGCACTTCAGGTGGTCGACTTTGCGTGCACGGACAGCGTCTGGGAGGCCACTTGTTCGGTCCGCTGACCATGCCTGGGTTTTGCTCTCGTTGACCGTCAGGCCGTGGTTGGTGAGGGCGCCGACAACGAGTTGCTTCGCTCCTGCTGCGTGCTCCGGGGGCGCAAACACCATGATGTCGTCGAGGTAGGAGAACACGCGACAGGCGGTGGAGAGGTGCTGGAGGCCCTGGGAGATCTCGTCCAAACAGTCCGCCACTGCAATGGCGAAGAACGCCGGTGAGAGCGGGCAGCCTGCTCCCCCCCCCGAACCGAGTTTGGCCCCCAAAGCGCCTGGGTGCACGCGGAGCGCTAATAAGTTTCCTCCGACAGTACGCCCCAGGGGAGGGCCATTCTTCGACACCCCTCACGAGGATCGTGGCCTCCGAGGTGGGAGCCGCAATCGTCTGCCTCCCCCTCCCGCCCCAAGAGGCCCCCAAGAGCCGCCCAAGAGGCCCCAGGGGCCCCCAAGACGCCGCCAAGGAGCCCCAATAGGCCCCCACGAGGCCCCCAAGAGGCCCCAAAGAGCGCTCCAGGGCCGGCGGAATGAGTCAGGGCCGAGGCTAAGGAGTAAGGCCGCAAGGAAAAAAGCAACGAACAAAAAAACAACAAGCATGTTTGAGCCAAACGTTTCGGGCTCGCCCCCGAGGGCACGACGGCGGGTCGGCGACGCAGCGGCCACTGGGCATGCCCCCCCCAGTTGCGGCTCGGAACGGCACATAAGCCGTTGAGAGGTTGGCCCGCGCAGCAGCGGTCCTCTTCCAGGGCCTTGAAGAAGCCAATCCCACCAGCCCTCTGGGCTGAGGTGGTCCAATGCGCTTCCTCATCCCACCCCCTTCCTCCTCGTCGAGGGGAGGCTGACCCCTCTCCCCACCCCCTCCCCTGGGTCTGGACGGGGAGGGCGCGAGGCGTAACAGCGCCCAAATGGCCCAATATGACCCCTAGATAGCCCAAGAGAACCCAATATGACCCCGAAGACTGAATGCTGCAATATAGCTTCACAGCACCGTGTATCAAGGTGGGCCCCAAAAGAAACCAGACGCACACGTCATCCAAAGTCGCGCGATGAGCTGGTATTCGGGCTGTTGCTACCGCCTCAGAGCCCCTGCTGAGATCGAACGGGGGGGAGGGGGGAAAATCGTTACTTTTCCCCCTCCCCGGCATAACAATATGGCGATGACAAACGGGCCCAAGATGGCCCGAAACAGCCCCGAGAGGAACACGAGAGGGACAAGAAAACGGCCCCAACAGCGCCCAAGGGCGATCCACGAGCTCGTCAATAATGCCCCGGGATACCATTTCTTGAGGCCCAAGAAATGCAAGGCCGCTAAAGCCTCCCACTTCTTTGATCGATTGCGCGCATAACTTCCCAGCAAGAGCCCCCAAGGCCCTAAAGGGGGCCCTAAGAGAGCGCCAAGAAGGCCTGAGAGGCCCCAGGAATGGCCCCAAGCCGGCTCAAATTAGCTCCAAGAGGCCTCAAAGAGGGCCCGACAGCGAAAGTCTCGCGAAGCTGTTGATGGATGATTCCTCTCGTCGTCGTGGTCGTCGTCGTCGTCGTCGCGGCCCTCGTGTTCGCCGCAGCAATCCGCCCGCCTCCTCCCCCATTTTCCCTACTCCTCCCCCCGCCTCCGCCCCTCTCCTTGTGATCATCATCCCCATCCCCATTTTCCCCAAAGTAATCCTCCAGATCTTCCACCCTCTTCTTGAGAAGGACCGAAAAGGCATACAAACCCTTCCCTCGATCACAACTTCATTACGAATTGCGCCGTTTCCGTAACCAAGACAACTCGCCCAGGCATCGCCTGCGTGCGGGTTGGCGGGGATACGCGGAGCGTCCAGAATCTCTGCCGCCGAGGTCGGCAGCAAGGGGGTCGGCGACAGCGGCGGGGAGTGCGGCTTTTCTTTTTTCTCCATGGCCCCTCTGCGCCAACGACCCCTTTCGCTGGCGCAAGCCTCTGGAGCCCCAGCGGGCCCCCTGCAAAACAAACCGCGCCACCTCCACAGAGGCCGCGCGGCGGGTACGACCGGCAGGCCTACCACGAAGATCGCCCCTGCTGGATCGTCGCGCTCGCCCTGCGGCGGAGCGGCAGCGCTCAGCAACGATGCACAACAAAAACTGCTCGCCGCGTCTACCCCGGAATCTCGCGGGCCCCCGCGAACCACGGGGGCGCGGCAACGTCGCACGAGGTCCGGGCGATCAGCACGCAGAAGCCCCTGGCCTCCGCGCGCCTGGGAGGGAGTGCGAAGGGGGCGACCCCTAAACCGCCCAACCCCTGGATCCCTGCGATTTCGAGGTTCCTTGACCTCCACCTCCCCTGTGCCCCACCGTCGACCAACCCGAGCCTCCGAGACCTCGCGCGACGTTACCGCGCGTCGCCGACGCGCGCAGCGATCTCCGAAAATCAAAGCTCAAGGAGCTGCGCCTCCAACCGCCCAGCGCCCGCGAGCAACCCACTGATCGCCCTCGCGACGTGTCTGCGACTCCCCGGAAGAGGTCGCGTCACCAGACCTACGCCTCCTCGCAAAGCAAGAAGGCCCCTCTGCGCGTGCCTGGGACACGCCGGATCAGGAGAACATCGCCATGGCAGACGCCTTCGCCAGATCCTGCGCCTTCGGCTGCTTGCCCCCGCCAGACGAGCTGGAGCTGCCGCCGCCTTTCGCAGCGCCGCCTGCGGCGCCAGCTGTTTTAGGTTTCTTCAGCGGGGGGCCCTTGCCGTCGGCCTTCTGGCACTCCTGGATCAGCTGGACAACGCGGCCATCGATGTCAGAGGGGCACAGGTAGCGGTACATGACGATATCATCGAAGTCCTTCTGGTCGACCTGCTGCTTTTTCTTGATGGCGTCCTCTGCGATCTCCACGATGCGGCGGTAGGCCGCTGCCCCCGTGACCCTCCCCTCAGTCGTCCGGCGGCTAAGGAAGTACTGGAACGTGCTAACGCAGTCGGACACCATTTTCGACACCTCGTCTTTCTTCACCTCGAGGGGGGCGCCGAGGCACATAGACCCGAGCACCTTCGCGAGATACTTCAGGCCAGCCTGCGCGCCCACAGGGCTCATTTTCATCTGCTCGCCGTTCGCAAGGGTCTCCAAGCGAGCCTTGCACTGCTTCACCGTGATCTCGCGGGCGGCCGCGGGCATCTCGCACATGATGACGCACGTGGCCCTCTGCTCCGCGGTGGCCCCGCAGAGGCTCATCAAGAGGGCGTGATCGAGCGCCCACGAATCCGGGTCCATCACCTCGAGCTTGTGCTTGTTGGTCTTCACGACGTCATGCATGTCGTCTGAGCTCGCGACCTGCTTCGCAGCGATGAACTGGCCGAGCTTCTGGCGGGCGAGCTTCGCCTGCGGGCGGGCCAGCTCCGAAAACAGACGGGGGCGCAACCACCCCCCACAAGGGGCTCAAATCATTCATCTCTCGCCCCGCACCCCGCGGATTTCGGGGCCGCGTGAGACCCCCGACGAGGCCGCCCAAGGAGCCCGGAAGTTCCCCGAGCCTCTGCGGGCCCCCTCCCCCCGCGGCCCTGCAGAAATCCGGACAGAGACCCAAGGTGCTCCCACAGTGCCCCATAGGGAACCCCAGGAGACCCCCGAATCGGGTCTACAGGGCCGGGGGGGGCTCCACAAAGGCCCGACGCGTCGAAACCGATGAGGTCTGCGCGGGCCGCTTGACCCAGGCCGACGGCCTGCTGCGGACCCTGCGACCAGGCGCTACGTCGACAGAGAGGTGACGCGGGCGGCCAGGTGGGAGGCAGCGGGGCGCAGCCAATGGAGGCCGATGGAGCCCCCATGGGGAGAGGGCATGAGCCCCCCGAGGAGCAATGGGGGGGGGGCCGCGAAGCCCCGGAGGCGCGCTCCCGGAAAGGCCGCGCAGCGCGCCCCATCCACGGAGCGACGTAACGACAACAACGCGGGGAAGTCACAGTTGGGGGCACGCGGGTGGACATCAGGATCCCCTTAATTCCAATGCGCGGGGGCGCCTTGCTAAACATGTCGTCGTGAACTTGCAGCGCCTTCTCGGCTGGCGAGTCGCTGTACCCCAGGAGGACCTCCGCCTGGTGCTTCGGGATCTGCCCGTGAGCGACACCGCTACCTTTGATCACGCCCCAGAGACGGAGCTCCACGTCGTTCACCATGCAGGTCACTGGGACTTTCGGAATGGCCTTGCTGCGGTACGGCACGTCGACGAACCTCTTGGAGGCCAGCTGCTCCACGCCATCGATAGCATTGACTTCTGCCACGATCTGCCCTCGCCAATCCTCAAACACTTCGTTGTTCATTGGCACTCGCGTGTTGGGGGCCGACGGAGTGCAGAGAGCCACAATCTTTTCGTCGATCTCCTGCGCCGCCGCAGCGGAGAGAACGTCGGACATCTTGGAGTGGAACATCGCCTCGCCGATCACCCCGCAGCGCGCCAGCTGCACGATTTCAGTGTGGCAAGACTTGGCCCAGGACTCCCCAGCAGCAATGACCTGCGGAGGGCGAAGAGAAGGGGGGACAAGGGTCCTCAGAAAATAAATGAAATGACCTGCCGAAGCGGATCGACAGGATAGACGAGCTTCAGGTCGCGCTCGTTGTTCCTGCAGAACTCGGCCTGGTCAACGTGCTTAGACACAGAACCCCAACGTAGCGCCAAGACCTTTTCGACCACGTCCTTCGCGATCGCAAACAAGTCGGGGTACAGCTGGTGAATCCGCAACCTGGGGAAGGATCTTCCTTCGCAATTCCAGGATTCACTGGCGGAGACCCCCTAGCTGTGCCTCGGGCGAAGCACGCGCATCGCAAGGAGAAATCGACGGCCGCAGACTGAAGGTGACGAGTGCAGCGCCCGTCATGGAAATGAAGGCTCCGAAATGGCCCCGGCGACTTCCCCCCTCCCGCCGGGAGAAAGAAAGTTCTGGGGGCACGTCCACTAAGCTGCCGAAATCTTAGGAATCGCTGAGAAAGCACCCGCGACGCCCCAGGAGGCTCCAAGGGGCGCCCAAGAGGCCCGTGAAAAACTCCAAGAGCTCCACAACAGTCCCGCGGGACGCCCAAACCATTGGGTTTTCTAAAAACCGCTCGCCCTAAATCATGCGGCAGTCCGCGGATCGCCGGAACGGGCGCTGTCTGCCCGGGCAGACGCCCCGCCAAAACCAGGAAGCCCAAGACCGCACATCAGAGTAAGCGCCACGGGCATTCTGGAATTCCCCAAGACCCCCCTTGCGGTCGCCCCAGGGCCCCGCTGGAGGCCGCCCGGATTCTCACTGGGGTCGGTGCCGACCCGCATTGGCACGACACTTGGCGTTCAAGCCATGTTGGAACCATCAAAAGGGGCCCCGTGAATCCATGTCGGGCCCCCTCTGGGACCCTCGCGGCCCCTTGCAAGGCACTTGCGCGGCCATCTTGGCCCCGTCTCGGCGCCTCGGATACCGCGTCGAGGCCCGGATGGTGCCCTCTTACAGCTGGGCGCAAGCCCCTCAAGCAAGACACATGCATTGTGGCCCCATCCAGGGCCGCTCTGGAGGCCTCTGGGGGCCACGTTGCAATTGACTTCCCCAGAGCGCTGGGGAGGCTGGAAAAGATCCGCGACGGCACAAGATCCTGTCCGACGCAGGGCCCCCCATTGGCCACAGCAGGGGCTTCGGGCATTCCAACACGGGACCTGCTCATCCAGGCAAGCACCGCGTCAGCGCACGGCAACTGCACGTCGGTGTCCGCCAAACGTAAGCCACAAAGCCATCGAAGAACGCCCTGTGTGTCCTTCTTGGACGCTTCCGTAGCGGTTTTGAGGTACGTGAGCATGGGCCCGCGGTCTGGCTTGCGAGGGTCCTTCAGCGCCTGCATCGCCTGGGGGCGTACATAAACATGACACGAAACGACAACGAAAAATTGCGGGCCAAATCTGAGTGTTGTACCACGCTGCTGGTGGCCTTCATTAAATATTCGTTCGGGACAGACTGGTCAGACGGGTCCGGCTTGAGGGCGACAAAGTAGGAATCATCGGCCGAATACTCCTGCTTACGGGCGATGTAGTAGTGTGCCCCCCAGACAACGTCCTCGCCGCGATCCGCCCTGGCAATGTCATGCTCCAGCTGCTGGATCAAAGTGCGACCGGTGGACGGCAGCACCCTCACGTAGCAGCACTCGTGCGGAAAATCTTTGAAATTGTCACTGAGTTTCTGCAGCGCCCTCGTGTGAACGGATCTGTTTCGGCCAGAGCCCCCGCTCGAGCCTGACTTGGCCTTCGCTGCGGCCTTCGACTTTGCAGCGGGCATTCTCAGAAGGACCCTGCACTCAATCAGCCTCGCAATCACCTTGAACCCAAATGGCTATGGACAGGGAGGGGAAAGAGAAAGGTCATCGGCTAAAGCGGCCGATGATGTTGTAGAGCCTCCAGAGGTGCATAAAGCTCACAGGGGTCATGGAGAGGGATCGGCGGGCTCACAAGGTCACATGCGACTGAGGCCCATTAAGCTGACAGGGCTCATTGGGCCCAGGCCCATAATTAAGGGCACACCCCCTTCACACACTGTACACTACCTTACGCATTTCGAGGGACCTCCTCCGAAGAGACAAAGCTTCTTACACTGAGTATTTGAATATACTGAAACACAACCAATCGAGATCAAAACTCTCAGCGGGTTTTGTTGCTGCTGCTCTGTGTATGCGTGTGTGTGCGCGTGTGTCGTGGGCCTCTTGAGCCCTGTCCGGGCCATGTGGAGCCCCTCTTGCAGCCCTCTCGGGGCCTCTGTGGGCCCTCTTTGAGCTTTACCGGACCTCCTCGGCGCCCTCCCAGGCTTCCCAAGAGGGGCTCAGTCAACCCCTGGCCAAACTCCGTCTGACGGAGTTTCGAGTGATGCGTGCTAGCGCCCTCTTGGGGCCCACGAGGGGCCCTGTTGGGACGTCTTGGAGGGCCTCAAAGAAACTCCGCATGGGGTCGAAGTGGGCCCCAAGAGGGCCAGAAAGTCATAGAGAAATCCCAGACTTGCAATGCCAGCGTCTGGGATTTTTCTGTGATTTTTTGGGGGCCTCTAGGGGGCTGTTGGAACCCTCGGGAAGCAAGAGGGAGCGTCTCAAGAGGCCCCCAGAAGCCCCAAGACGGCCCCAGGATGGCCCTCCGAGGCTTCCCGAGAAGTGGTCAGTGAGCCCCTGTCCCAACTCCGTCTGACGGAGTTGGGCGTGATGCCCGCTAGCGCCCTCTTGGGGCTCACAAGGGGCGCTCCTGGGCCGTCTTGGACCCTCTTGGGGGCTCTTGGGGGCCGTCTGAAGAGGCCCCCCAGGACCCCCAAGAGGCCCCAAGACGCCCTCCCAGGCTTCCCAAGAGAGGCTCAGTGAGCCCCTGGCCCAACTCCGTCTGACGGAGTTGGGCGTGATGGTTGCTATCGCCTTCTTGGGGCCCACAAGGGGCCCTCCTGGGCCGTCTTGGAGGGCCTCAAGAAGGCTTCAAGAGGGGTCGAAGTGGGCTCCAAGAGGGCCCCAAACATCCAAGAGGGCTCCAAGAAAGCCCCCAGATTGTCCCAAGAGGGCCCCAAAAAAGCCCCAAGAAGGGGGAGGCTCGCGCTGTCAACACCGACGTTTTGGAAGCGCGAGGTCTCCTGTCCACAGGATCCCGAATAGCTCCCAGACCGTTAACGCACCAGAACACAGACCACGACAAGGAATCCCACAATCCCTCTGGGCGTAGGTGGTCCAGAACATTTCCTCTTCCAGTTTCCCAATCAAACCCCTCTCCCTACCCTCTCCCCTGGGGTCTTTCCCCCCCCTCCACCCCCCCTCCACCCCCCCTTCCACCTCCCCCTCCACCACCACCCTCCAACACCCCCTCCACCTCCCCCTCCACACCCCCTCCACCCCCCCTCCACCTCCCCCTCCACCCCCTCGGATGTCCCTTGAAAGCTTTTGGGAACCCGAATTGGGTCGGGGCTTTCGGAGGGGCCCAGGAGGGCCCCATGGCGGCTCCAGAGGGCCCCAAGACGGCTCCAGGCGGCTCCAGAGGGCCCCAAGACGGCTCCAGAGGGCCCCAAGACGGCTGATCTTTTTGTCTTCATACTCCTCCTTCTGTTCCTCCTCATCCTATGCATCATCCTTCAACCAACTCCCTCATCCATCCATCCAGGCTCCTTCTCCTCCTCCCTCCCTCGCACGGTGCGGCGGGACCCTGCTTTGCTCCCACACTTCCCTGATCACCTCAACTTGCCGGAGCGTCGTTCCTGGATGGTCTGGTGAGGATGCGCGAAGCGCCAAGAATTGGGTAGTAGTAAACTTCTCTTCAAAGTGGAGGCCCTCTTGTGGCAATCTTGCGACCCTCTGCGGCCCCTCCAAAAATCAGTAGAGGGTCCCACGAAATCCCAAATGCCCTCCTGCAGTTCGCCCGGGCGTTCCTGGGCTGCCCGCGAGGGGGCCAAGAAGGCCCCCAGAAAGCGCCACGAGGGTCCGAGAAAAAGTCCCAGGAGTTGTGCAACGGCCGTTGCACATCATTGGTGTCGTCTTGGGGGCACTCTGGATACCCTCTTGGGTGCTGTCCCTAATCGCAGGGCCCACCGCCCCTCGTCCTCGTCGTCGTCGCCCTTTTCCTCACCGTCCTCATCCCCCTCCTCCTCATCCGCCCCCACCCCCCGCCCCCAACAAAACATAATGCCGAACCCTTGGCGCAAGCCGAATCCCAGTTTTCTCGGACGAGGTCGAGAGCTCCATGATGGAACCGATGCCCCTCCAAGAGAGGATCGAGAGCGCCAGGCCGACACGGCTCTGGGCACATGGTCGAGGTGTCCCCGGCGGGGCGGTCCTGCATAGAGGCGAAACAGCAAGTCAACAAGAACGTGCCGCGAACTGGGAGAACCCAGAAGGATAAGAAAACTTCCGGATTTCGGCCCGGCGAGGGGCCGGATTTTGCCCGGATTTCCTCCGGATTCCCGCCCGGCTTTTGGCCCGGATTTTGCCCGGATTTTGCCCGGATTTTGCCCGGATTTTGGTTTTGGCTCGTTTCCCTGTGAAAAAAAAGGTTTGCGCACCACAGATTTGCCCGGATTTTGCCCAGATTTTTCCCCGGGGGGGGGCGGGGGCGCCGTCGCGGAGAGGGGCCGGGGAGGGACAGAGTGAAGGAGGGTGAGGGCGAGGAGTGGGCCGAAGCCGCAAAATGCCGAGGCGTTGTTCGGATCTGCGCACCAAAGCCCAGCGTGCCCCTGGGGGTACAAGAGAACGCCAGGATGCCCTCGGAGGAAGGCGGAGGAGCAGCAGCGGCAAGAGGGAACTCAAAGGGGGTACAAGAGAGCGCCAGGATGCCAAGGAGGAAAGAAGCGGAGGAGCAGCAGCAGCAGGATGCGCCAGCAGGAAAGCGGAGGAGCATGCCGCAGCGTGAACCCCAAACAATGACTCGGGAGCTCGCTGCGGCCCCGCAGTAGGGTTCAACCCTCCAGCTCCCGCGGGAAATGCCACCAGCCCTCTGGGCGTCGGTGGTCTAGAGCGTTTCCTCTTCCAGTTTCCTCATATAACCCCTCTCCCTACCCTCTCCCCTGGGGTCTTTCCCCCCCCTCCACCACCCCCTCCCCCACCCGTCCCCCCCCACCACCACGACCCCCCTCCAACACCCCCTCCACCTCCCCCTCCACACACCCCTCCACCCCCCCTCCACCTCCCCCTCCACCCCCTCGGATGTCCCTTGGAAGCTTTTTGGTAGCCCGAATTGGGTTGGGGCTCTCTTGGAGCCCAGAGACCTCTTGGGGACCTCTTGGAGCCGTCCTGGAGCTCTCTTGGGGTCCCCAGAAGGCTCCAAAAGCCCCCCAAGAAGTCCCAACAACCTGTCACCAAAAAGGGCCTTGTTCGTGACAGGTTGTTGGGCCCTCTTGGGGGGCTCCTGAAGCCCTCCTGGAACCCTCTTGGGGTCCTGTTGGAGCCCTCTGGGAGCCCTCTTGGAGCCCCAAGAAGCCCCCAAGAGGGCCCCAAGATGGCCCCAAAAGGGGGCCGGGAATTATGTACCAGCAGGCCCTTGGTTGGTACATAACTCCTGGGCCCATCTTGGGGCCCTCAGGGAGCTCTCTTGGGGCCCTCGTGGGGCCTCCCGGGGCCCTCTGGGAGCTCTCGGGGGGCCCTCTTGGAGCCCCAACAGGGCTCCAAGAGGGCCCCAGGGAGCTCCAAGAGCCCCCCAAGAGGGCCCAACAACCTGTCACGAAAAAGGGCCTTGTTCGTGACAGGTTGTTGGGCCCTCCTGGGGGGCTCTTGGAGCCGTCTTGGGGCTTTCGGAAGGACCTAGGAGGGCCCCATCGCGGCTCCGGAGGGCCCCAAAACGGCTCCAGGCGGCTCCAGGGGGGCCCAAGACGGCTCCAGAGGGTCCCGAGACGGCTCATATTTTTATCCTCCTACTCCTCCTTCTGTTCCTCCTCATCCTATGCATCATCCTTCTGCCCACTCCCTCATCCATCCATCAAGCCTCCTTTTCCTCCCCCCTCCCTCGCACGGTTCGGCGATACCCTGCTTTGCTCCCAAACTTCCCTGATCACCTCAACTCGCCTGGGTGTCGTTACTGGATGGGCTGGTGGGGATGCGCGAAGCGTCAAGAATTATGTTGCGGCCCGCGGAACTCTTAAGCCACTCTGGAGCCTTTTTGGGAATGGCGTTTTGGGGCCCCAAGGAACGTCCCGGAAGCTTCGTCGGGGGGGGGCCTGACCATCCGAAGGCCTCGGGAAGGTCGAAAAAGGGCCCTCCAGATCCCCCATGGAGCCCTGCTCGGGGGGCGATCCCAGGGCAATGAACGTGCCCCCATGTACCCTCTGGGGTGCATCGCATTCGACGCCCCGTGCCCGTGCCCACGGCCATCGCGCGGCGATGCGCGCTTCGCTCGGACATATTATAGCGGCTGGTATCGGCGCGACGCATTTGTGGATACTGCCGCGAAGGTGGAAAGGAGAGACAGGGGTCTCATGGGGATGTCCAACTAGACTGGGAGAGAAAGTGATGATAACGATGGTGAGTGGGCCCCTGTGGGCGGCCTCAAAGCTCAGCGCGCAGACTGAGACCCCTCGCTTGATACGGGAAAACCCGTCGTGCAAGCAAGCGCTGTTTGGGGAAGGGAAAGCAATTTTCGCCAGAGAGTCGGGGGCCATGTTATGCTCCATCTGGAGCGGCACGTGCCTTGCCCCATGGGATACCGAGAATGACATCAATGCGGCCCTGCCAAGAAGGTATGGATGCATCCTTCGCGAGCGCCGTAAACTCCACCGGTTCGACATAGGCATCGACATGAGCCTGAGTGTACTCAAACGCCTGGCCCATCCCGGACGCCACTTCTAAAGAATAGAAGTGCTGCATCCTGTGGCACCACGCCCTGCACAACACCTTGCTTTCGGAAACCCCGTGCTCTAAAAACGTCGCCTTGAACGTGACTTGCAAATCGCGACGCTTCGCCCACGCATGCGCGAAAGCATTTGCGGTCTGGCCTTGCATGGCATGGACGCCCTGGCCGTCCTTCCGGACTTGGGACTCCCCGCCGCGGACCCTGGAGACAAAGTCCCCACAGCCGGCCGCTAGATTCTCCTGCGCTGCCGCCAGGCGTGCTTTCTCCAGCTCCGCGAGCTGTTGGATCATGGTCTCCTCGTCCACCTCTAAAGCCGCGCCGCCGTGGCAGTCGCTGTCCCTGGCGCTCTGTCTAGAAATAGTGGACAAGGCGTCCGACCCTGTGTCGAAGCCCTGCGTCGCGTCAAGGTGCTGAAGCCACGGCATTGTGCTCACCAGTTCGTCAAACTCTTTCGCCGACTTTTTCTTCTTGGCGCCATCCTTGTCGCCATCGCCCCGCGGGATGTCGTGTGCTTGACCCGCCAGAACCCAAGACAAATCCATCGGGGTCATTTCCGATGACACGTGGGTCCCGCCATTGTGCTTGAGACGAAACAGAATGCTAAGACGGTCTGCCGCGCCCACCGAAATGTCCGCGGCAGTGGTGAAGTCCGCGTAATCCCACCAACCCACTGTTTTGCAGTGGTATAGCGCAAGTCCTTTTCCAACCGCTATCTTCCCCCATCGGGGAGGGTTTGCCCGTTTCCCCTGCTCCCCCAGGGGTTGGGCGCGGGCGAATGCGCCAGAACGCAAAATATTGTCGGATGATGGCCCAAGAAGGCTCAAGAGGACCTCCAATATGGAATCGAATAAAAAACTATCATAACACGCTGCATCACGCTGATCCCCAGAAGAAGCCCAACGCACACATGTTCAAAAAAACACTGGAGGGGCGAAAATCCGGTCGGCCGCTACAGCCCGAGAGCTCCCGTCGCAATTTAACAGAGGAAATCGCTATTCTCCCCCATCCCCAGCACCGCCGCAAGGCGACGACGAGCGCCCCCAAGATGGCCAAACAAAAACCCCATGAGGAGCCTTGGAGGGCTCCAAAACAAGCCCAAGAGCGCCCGAGAGCCACCCAAAAACGCCCCAGAAGGGCCCTAAGAGGCCATTGGTTGGGTTCCAACGGAGACAGGCTGTTAGCCCCCCTTCCCTCCATCCTTTCGCGATCGATGTCCGCGGGGATGGCCCATGGAGGGCCCCCAGAAGAAGGCCCTGGGAGAACGCCGCGCGAGCCCCGGAGGCCCCAGGATTGACCCCATAGAGCGCAAGGTGTGGCGCCGGGAAATTTCCAAGAGCCCCCAGCAGCGGTAGACCCGCCAAAGCTTTGATGGACAGCTCCTGTCGCCGCGTGGTCGTCGCAGTCGTCGTGGCTGTCTTCGTCGCCGTTGCGTATATCACACCCCCTCCCCCTCCATAGTCCGCTGGCATCCTCCTCGCCCCCATCCCGCGTGACCCTCCCCCTCGCCATCATCCGCGACATCTTCCATGCTGCCCCCCATCTTCCCCCTCCTGCACCTCCTCCCTCCCTTCGGAAGAGCCGCGCAAACATTATCCTATAGCCCCCCTTCCACATTGGTTGAGCTGCGCGCTGCGCCGCCCCCCTGATCAAGGCAATCCGCATGGGCACGTTTTCTGGATGGGGTGGCGGGGATTCGCAGAGCGCATGGAATTGCAATGGAAACTGTACGTGGTACTGCGAGGCTCCTGGAGGGCTGTGCATGGCATGTATTCGCCAGCCAGATGCAACCTGCACGTCGCTAAATAGTACGATGGGGATTTCACCATGAAGACCATCTTCCAGAACTCGACCTGGCCGTTGTCCCGGTGAATGACGAGCGCCGCGCCCTGAAGCAGACTGCGGTGGCGAATAAGTGGCCCAGCCCACTCTGGCATGATCGGGTCCTTCCGCTGCCAAACGGCTGGCATCCCTGTGAACAGGGCAACAGGGAGCGGGGCCAAACCCACCGTGGCCCTCCTCGTCTTGATGTTCACAGGGTCCCGGAACGCCTCTTGTCCCCATAGCCGGGCGAACGTTTCCAGGTCGGCATCGTCGAGGGCAGCGGAAGACATGGTCAGGGGGGCGCCCCTGCGCTCGCGAAGCTCCATGGCGAAGTCTATGGCGTTCAGCTGGATTGACAAGTTTTCCCACTCTTCAGACATGAGATTCTTGCGATCATTGATGTGCTGGGCAGCTCGATGCCCCCATTCAATCTGCGAGCGCATGGACAGACCAGCCCACATAACCGACTGCCGAGTGAAACAATTCTGAGCAAGTTTTTTCATTGACGCCTCATAGCCTGGAACGCCGTCGTCTTTTTTTTGCTTGGAAATGGCAAAAATGCATTTGACCATCATGTTCTTCCCAGAACACCTATCTGGCTCTGCCCTCATGATGGCGTCCATACGCCGCAAGACTTTCTCTTTCTCCCTGTCCAACTTGGTGGCAGCAGGCAGCAATCTCGTCATCTGCAGCAGGAGGGCGCGAGAAATGAGGGTGTCGGGGCCGTATTCTGGATGCCACTTATGGAGCATCGCCAAGCTCGCGTGCTGTTGTTCTGCCGGCAAGCTCGTCCACCCTGCCTCCCCTAAGAGATCGACAGTGGCGACCAACTGGTCAAGGTTGTGGCCGCGGTGCATGAGCTGCCAGAGCTGGTTGCTCACCGGCTCCTCTGGGGGGCTCCCCGCGGCCAACTCCCTCAAGTTCTCAGCGACGTCGCCGCGGACTAGCCGCCAAGGCAACTCCGCCGCATTGCACAGGATCCGCCTCCAGAGGAAGTGGAAGCACACGTGGGCGGAGGCAATGCAAGAGTCGGCGATTCGAGCCCTGCTCTGGCCACACAACGAGCCTAACAGCGAGAAAGTGCGCGCGGAGATATCTACAATCCACTTGACCTCCTTCGCGGCAGCTTCCCATAGGTCATCGTGGATCCTGGCAACCCGGCTGTCCTTCATCAGTTGGACCTGGAAGGACTCCGCAACTCTCCCCACGATGGCAGATATGACCAGAAACTCTTTCCTGGAATCCTTCAGTCGGCCGAAGCCTCTCAAGTAGAACTTGCTGGCATCGGGATCATTATCTATGAAACGCACCAAACCTTCAATGCCTGTGAACAGACTCGCAACGAGGGTTCTGGAACTGGTGCCCAGGGTGAGCCATCGGGACTCGCTGAATTTGGCAAACCGCCAAACAGCCATCAGACCTGACGCGGTGGCATCCAACACGTCGCTACCTTCACAGGCGTCTCGGTGCACCCACAGCACATCTCCATCCCACCAAAGCTGGAGGTCAGCAGCGAGCAGTTCTGCGGTCTCCATGTCTACACCAAGCTCCAACCACAGAGTGCGTCGGTGCTGAATCCAGTCCACACCCTGGTCGTCGCGCCTCCGCAACACCGACTGGATCCAAGTGTAAACATGGCTGGACAACAAGTCCGCGGACCTGCGGAGGGACTCGATTGCGATATAGACGTCTCTAACCAAATCTTTATCTGTGCAAACATTGACCAACGAAACGCATTCTGAGAATCGTGCAAAGCGCACGGGGTGATGACCACAAACTCTGTGAGCCGCGCGACCTCCGGAGTGATGTGCGCTGGGAGCGGCGGCAGAGGCTGGGCGAGGTGCCACTTGCGGGTCTCCCGGTCCAAGGACTCGATGGACAAGCGATCCCAACAGTAATGCTCTACAGCGCAACCCACGTGGCCGAGCGAACGCAGGGTATGCCAATTACTCCTGCTGGCAGCGAGTATAGCAGGGACTTTCTTCCCATGATATAACGGGGTTGGTTCGCAGAGGACCACTTTGGTTGCCCAACCGTCGGGCCCCAAATCGCACCGGAAAAACTGGTTCTGCACTAAGAACTCAACACACTGTTTGCCCTGAGTGCGGACCGCCTTGCCACCCGGTTGCCGAAAAGTGGAACGGTGCACAACAGTAATGGGCGTCCCATCTGCAGATTTTGACGTCAACATGGGCCTTAGGCCCGCTGCTGCAACCAGTGATCGGGCCCCGCGAAGGAGAGTCTCTTTAGAGACTTCGCAAGCAGGCCCAAGCTCCGCTCGCCCTTTCTCGGTGAGGAAGCCAGAGGCGCGCCCCAAGCGAGTGAGCACATCCTGAGCCGACTCGGCCCCTTCATCACACATGTGGAGCACGCGCCTGCCAACCAGGTTAACCTTGAGCCCATGCAGCCTTCGAACGAACCCACGCGCACGCGAGCACGCACGCGCACTAATTCGCCAACCCTTTGGGCGACGGTGGCTCGATGGGTCATCCCTTCCAAGTCCCCGATTCGGCTTCGGGGAGGGGGTGCCCCTTCCCCCCTGCGCCACAACGCACCCCCCTGGCCCGTGGACTGGTGTAGCTGGCACTCGCGGCTCGCAATCACGGAGCGGCATGCCAAGACAAAGCTGCGCCCAAATCAAGTTTGCCATCGGAGCCCTCGCGGGGGACCTCCCGCGGGTCCCAGGGGCCGAAAACGAGACGACTCGGGAACCGAAGGACCTGGCCACGGCAAAACGGGGGCGGGAGAGAACCAAGTCACTCACCCAGGAACGACGAGGTCTCTCCCAATTCTTGGACCTGTCGAGCGGCTCCTTCCCTCCAACCCCCCGCACCTCCCCCCGGGCGAGTCCCTCTGATCTTCCGCTCCCCTTCCCGCCCTGCCGACGAGGACAAGGAAGCCATGAATGCCTAAAAGGCCGTGGACTGGCACGGGAAGCCGAAGTCCCGCCCGAGGTCGACGTGGGTGGGGGGGGGGCAGAGGGAACCGAAGCACGCCCCCTGGCGGGAGTCGGTAGAGCTTTCTACCTCCACCCCCCCGCGCCTCGACCTCGACCGAATGCGTCGGTTTCCCCGCCTCCCACGCCGTGCTCAGCAAAACGCAGAAAGCAGAAGGGCGATGAGATCGAGAGCTCCAGGATTGGGCCGACAGGTCCGCGATCGGACGGCCCCGAGGACGGGGTCAAGAGCTCCATGATGAGGCCGATGGCTCCCGAAAACAAGATCAACAACTCCGCGGCGAAGCGGCCCCGCGGACGAGGTAGGGAGTGCAGGGCGGGGCGGGCCAGAATACGGGATGGAAAGCACCGAATGGGGCCGAGTGTTTCCGCCCCGCGCCCCAAACAACCGTTTAGATGTTGGTGGCATGGGGAATTCCGCTTCTAACCACGACGTTCCCCTTCGCGGGGTGGCTTCTCTCATGCCCCGACGCCTCTCGGGACCTCCTGGGGCCGTCGTAGGGCCCTTTCGAATCCAACGACGTGAAGCGCTGCTGGCTGGCATTCTCTAAATTAGGGCGCGTTTCGCACCCTTTAGGGCACTTTCGGGCATGTCCTGGGGCCCTCATGGGGATCTTGGGGCCGTAGTGGGTCTCTGCTGGGCTCGCGCCAGGAATCTATCGGGGCTCTGCTGCAACCATATTGAAGCCGCGGGACCGCTCTCGGGGGCGGAAAAAAAGCGGGCATACGTCGTTGACTTGCGACTGACTGGGGGAAAATTGAACCCGCAATGGTACCAAAAACGAAGGCATCTGCCCAGTCCGTTGCGCGCATGAATTTCGCCCCCATGTCCCCGCCCGTGTCACACCCGAGGGCGAACCTCCCCCTGGATAGGCGGACGGGAGCCCTTTGCCCAAGCAGGGCGGGAAAATTGATACGCCCCTGCCTCCAAGACGGCCCAAGACGTTCACAAGAGAGCCCACCGCGCCAGGAGGAGGCAAGGGCGCACAAGACAAGACGAAACAAGACACAACATGGCCAAATAGGATCCTACCAGACGCGCCAAGGCAGCTTCCAGGTCGGCCGCAGACGACCATAAAAAACATGCATAAGGCCCTCGGGAAACGAACCTTCTTCAGGCACAGAACCACTCCGCGAGTGAATCCTTGCTAAATCCATTGGCGGGGGTGCCCGAAACGCCGGCGACGACCCGCCCCCAAAAAAAATATTAACGATTTTTTGAGCGATTTGCGCACCAAATTTTTGACCGAAATTTTGACCGATTTTTTGAGTAAGACGAATCGGAAATCCTGGGGGAATCCTGACTCCTTCAACACGGCCCTGAAATGAGCGAAGCGATTGAATAGGCCTCCTCCGAACACGAACCGTTCCTCATTTCAGCACATTGGCTGCACTGATCGGAGCGACCTCTGACGGCAGCACCACGCGCTCGACCGGAACCCTTACCGAACGCACACCGAACGCACAGGTGGTCCTGGTCTGCGTCACACGGAATGGTAGCAATGGGTCTAGCAGTTGCATGCAGCAGATGTTGTACCCTCACCTTTCCCTATCCCCCCTTTCGTCCGCCCAGAGACTGCATCATCACGCGCGCGATTGGAATATCCACTGCATGAAATTAGGAGGGACCAGCTCAGGGGGGGAAACATCGATCTGGAATCGGCGATACATCGCCGACAGATCGGTTATGTGCCCTCGGTAACAAATCCGCACGCTCCTGGGCGGGGGTGGGGGCTCTGGGCCCCTCTTGGCGATGAATGGGCGATTGGAGGTCGATGCTTCCCCCACCCCCTGAGTCTATCCCCCGCCCCAACTTTGCCCCTGACGCGCGAGTGGCCCCTGGTGCTGAACGCCCGAAGCATCCGGGATCACTGCGGTTCGGAGGCGCGAAAACCTGTGGCTACCCCAGACTGCCCCCGGCCCCGATGACTCGGGAGGCTCGGCCGCCCGAACTATCTGGGGATGCCTGCGGTCCGGGGCGACTCCGGCTCGGGGCCCCGAAGCGCGAGTCTGTAGCTACAGTCGGCCCGGCCCGTATGGTAAGGATCCGCGGTAAGTGTGCAAGGGCCCTGGAAGACCGTTTCGAAGCTTTTCGGGCGGGGCGCGGCCAGCGAAAGCGGCCAAGGACGGGACGAGGAGGCAAGGATGCAAAGGTACCCTTAGGACGGCTGCCCATCCATACTACGGTAGGTTCGCGCGGCAACGGCGCGCGCAAAGGTTTTTGACACCGCGTCGATCGTCGAACCTTGAATCGATCGCGGCCCCGATCGTTCAAAGATGAATTTCAGCTGCGCCAGAAGCCTCCCGCACCCGAGGGTGCCCGCACCCACTTGACAAGGGGTGCGGCACCCCCCGCGCCGTCCAGCCCGGCGGTGCCAGTCTGAGCCGACGCGCGGGGCGCCAGGGATGCAAGTACCCCCAGGAGCGGGAGGGCGGGGCGAAAGCGCGCGCGCCGTCCGCCACGGCGGGACGCAAGCGCACATGCCTGCGAGATGCAAGCACCAATGCCTGCACATCGCACGACCCCGAGGCGCGCCGCGAACCGCCCCGACGCGATCCCCGCGGCGCGCCTGCACGGGGCGTTCGACGCAAAGCGAGCAGAAGAGCAGACAGCCACGCGCGTGACGACGCACCCCCCTCGCGCGCGGGCCCTTCGCGCGGGGCCGCGCGCCGCGAGGCACGTGCCGTCGCTCCCCCCCCCCCCTCGCGCGCGCAGGCCCTTCGCGTGGGGCCGCGCGCCGCGAGGCACATGCTGACGCCCCCCCGCCTCGCGCGCGCGGGCCCTTCTCGTGGGGCCGCGCGCCGCGCGGCGCAGGAAAGCGGGAGGCGGCCCGCGCGCCCAGCTTGCCCGCCCGCGCGCGGGCCAGGCGCGGGCGCGAAATTTGTGCCCGCGCACAACGCAGCACAAGCGAGCGCGCGCGCTTTCGATGGCGTTGGGCGCCCACCACAAATTTCAGCTGCGCCAGAAGCCTCCCGCACCCGAGGGTGCCCGCACCCACTTGACAAGGGGTGCGGCACCCCCCGCGCCGTCCAGCCTGGCGGTGCCAGTCTGAGCCGACGCGCGGGGCGCCAGGGATGCAAGTACCCCCAGCCGATGCATGCTGGTGCACCGCGCAGCGGCGACGCGCGCGGCACGCGCACCCCTTGCGAAACGGGCGTTGCGCGCGGCGGCGCCGCGGTGTTGTGACACGCAGCGGCGGAGGCGTACGCGCGAGGGCGTCGCGCGACGCCTGGGTCGCCATTGCCTAGGCAAGTTCGTCCTCGGACTCAGCTAGATGCGCCTCGACCACGGCGCCGAGTTCGAGTTGCGTCAAATCGAGGTACGACAGGAACGCGGGCGAGGACCATTCGCCCGCTTGAAGGATCTCGCGCAAGGTGCCTCCCCTCTGCTGGAGGTCCAGTGCGTGCCCGCGCCGCAGGTCGTGCGTGCGATAGAGCGCCGCGTCTTTGACGCCGAGCTGACCGAGGAGAAAGCGCAGCGTGCTCAGCGAGCTGGCCGCGCTAATGTCCGCGAACGGCCCGGTGCCCACGGGCAGGTCCGCGAACCATGCGCCGAGCGCGTGGACCGGGCACGTCTTG